GTCTTAGGGCCGTAGTGCGGTAGTGACACTTTTCCGGACATGGGTCCCTATACTCAAATGTTTTCTACTGTTGCACTGAATAACCCCTAGAAGTTTGATCCCATAGTTCTGAAACACCCTGTATATTATTTTTATAATATACATATTTTTTCAATACGTCGCGCGCGTATTTCTGTTCGAAATATTTGCGAACTCTGACAGAGGGTGAAACTAACAAAAAGAAACTAATAAAAAGAGCCAAGTAAACAAGGACACGTGTGAGGTAATAAATGTTCCAAAGTGACGTTTTTGTCGAACTAATTTCGCACAAATATTGGAAAAGAGATGACTCTTCCCGAGCGATCGACGAGTAAAGACTTTGTTAATTTAAAATTTAACGATGTGTCTGTACTTTTTACTTATGACTGTACTCTGAACCTGTAATTTGTCTTTCGTCTCGTTTATTTATTTTTTTTTTTTTTTCACAGAACTCTTTACGCATTTATAAGATTAACTGTCGACGCCACAAAGCGCGCAGGAAGTTTGAATAGGAAGCGCGCGGCAGGGTCCGCCTCGCTTCTCGATAAATATTTCTCACGAGGGTTCAGCCACCAACTGACATCGCCCTTATTTTTAGACCGTCGTGCCCTAACGTTCTCTCTCTCTCTATCTCTTTCTCTCTCTCTCGTTACACGATCCAATAAGCACAATGTGAAAGTACGGAGGAGGATTAGCGGCAACCCTCACTTTCTTTTTCACGCCGTGGTGACGAGACCACGGCCATTTAAGTGAGCGGTGGTGGCTTTTGTCGACGACGAAAATCGATGACTTGCCGGACTTCGACAGAAACGAAAAAAACATCGCGGCGCGATAAGAGAGAGAGAGAGAGAGAAAGAGAGAGAAACAAAATGCGAGAAAGAGAAAAAGAGGTGTGAGAATCACACTGTAGTCAGTATTCAAATAAGTTTGTGCAGCAGTTACTTATCGCGGCACACACGAAACTCGCGCTCGTATATTTATAGACCACGAGGAAATTTGTTACTAGGACGTGCAACACAACGCAGGCACGTGTCCATCAACGGATCTCGAGTTTTGTCTTTGGCAAATGAACACGCGCGCGCGCGCGCGCATAAAACTCGGCACATATAACGCGGAAAATGATAAAATCACCAAAACTCCTATTTTCCTCTTTATAATGTCGAGTTCGCGAGATAGTTTGAATCGAGATTCCGTTCAATTTGTGCTACGCTAATATCTTGCGAACGGGGAAAAAAATATAGCCGCGAGATAACAGCGAAGTTTTCATTTTTAAAACAACCGCGATATATAAGGAATATTTCTCAACTGTCTGTTTCTCTCTGCAAATGTATCACGAAATGTGTCGCTAAACTGCGTGATTTTATTTTATTTTTTTTTATTTATTTTATTTTTGCCACGTTATTGGAAAATTACACACTCAATTCTTATAAACGACAGAACCAATGGATACACGAGACGTTGTCGACAACGCGACAAGAGAAAGGTTAAAGGATTATATATCAGCTATGCAGTAATCTGAGAGTGATCGGGCAATCATCAGCAGCTAAAGTCGAGGCACGTGGCTCGCTCGAAACGAAAACGCGACGTTAAATTTCTCGCGCGAGGTTCTTTGAGGAACCGGAGGATTTCGTCGAAAGGCAAAAAGGCTCGTCCTGCTCAAAGGGAACGGTTCATTGAGTTAGCCGAGTTTCTCGAAGAGGTCGGCAATAAACTCGTATGTGAGCCGCATACAAGCGTCACTTTCCCCCTCCCGCCGGTGTTGCTCTCGTGCAGAGGCGGCTTCTTGTCTAATGAAACCCTAGCATCGTCGAGGTTATTATCGAAACACCTTGTACACGGTGGCTCGGTGTACCTCGCGCGCGTCGGCTCTTTGATCTATCTTCGTAGACTGTTCGCCAACCCGCCCCTTGCGAAGGGTCGGCCGACTTTCCGTCCTATGTAAATCTTCAAAGGGGATCCTGCGCGGAGAATATCGCTCCGGATGATCGTGTAACACTTGCTTGTAATCTTCTGCGAACGAATTTATTCGCAACCACCTGTAGGATGTGCCAGGGTGAGACACATCCCCTTTTGAAATTTCCGTCCGAGATATCAAAAAATTTTTGGACCGCTATATCTCCGGACATCTTATCTTCTTCGATTTCAATTATCTCCTTCAATTAGGAGAAGTTGAGTCGAGGTACACACGTACACACACACACACACGACCAACAGGTGTGTTCAATTATTCGGACGGTTACAGGCTTCGGATAGCCCTCGCATTACTCCGCGGTAAGGTATCTCGGACGTTTGCAAATTCGAGAGAGAATTTCAGGTCTCGTTGAATATTGCATGTCGGATAAATGAACTGCTCCTACATATGTATGTATATACATGTGTATGTGTGTGTATGTGTGTGTACGTTCAAGTCCGCAGGGATCGGTGAAAGGAGAAGAGATAGTCGAAATAATGGAGGTTGAATCTCCCGCGGGTGAGTCTAAAAAGCCCGCGCGGAAAAGAAAGAAGCCTTTCGCGTAATCAGTTGGGGTTGCCTTGCAAACTACATCGGGAACAGGTTTCATGTGCAACGAGAGGGACCGCGGTAATTGCGCATTACTCGCATGAACCCCGAGCAAAGGCAGCCGCACTATTGCTGCCGTAGAAATTTTCGAATGAGAACGAAATTTAATTTTTGAACGCGTGCAAACAATGCGCAAGAAAAAATATAGAAAAATGTTCTCACAGAAGTTAAACACGCTGTAGTTTTTTTCGATCACATCCGATCACACTTTCACGGATATTTGAAGA